TTACGGCCGGGGAATGCAAAGGGGCAGGTGTTTTCCCCAGTGCACTCCACTGAGCAAAGGAATACCATAGCTTTTTATACAGTTTGAAAGTAGCAAGTTTAAAATTATCTATACACACACTCTTTTTGCAGTCTGCCTTATCTAAATAGACACTTAGTTTTACCTCCCATTCTTACCATTATAGAGTAGTTACATAAAGTTTTATAATTTCAAACAGTTTCAGGTTCCCCACCCCTCTCTACATGCTAAAAAGCCTTCCCTGTTCCCTAAGCTATTCTATCTTATTAGCCCACAGTTTGGGCAGAAACTTTTAAGCAGTTTTACATTTTGCAAAGTCACACTTACATAGCTAAATTAACACAGCTAAATTTTATTTCATTTTCTATTTCACATCCCTCGTTTTCCCCCCCCTGCATTTTCCCCGGGACTCTTCCAGCTCCGCCCACGGAGCCCCGGGGACGCTCCCCCCGCGTGTCCCCACCCCACATCACCCCCACGTCCCGCATCATCCCCACCGCGGGATGGTGGGTGGGCGATAAACCCCCCCCTGCTGCTTTGCCCTGGCCCCTTCCACCTCCCCCAACCCCGGGGGCATCCCCATCAGCACCCACCTCCCCCTGGGGGTCCCACCCCTCCTTTGGGGAGCTACAGGGGGGTGCTGGGACACCCCACAGCACCCACTGGGACCGGGGGGCTCGTGCTGGTCCCCAAAGCCCCCCAGGGTCGGTGGGGACACACTCCTGCCACAGCAACCAGACACCCGGGCTTGGGGGGCCACAGGGGCAGGAGGACCCCTGGTGTGGGCAGCAGATGTGCCAGAGCCACGGCAGCCCTGGCTGGGATGTGTTTTCCCTGGCTCTGGCAGACAGGGATAACGGTCACCTCCGGAATCCCAGCGCTGCTGGAGAGCCACGGGCCGTGCTGGGAGGGCTGTGGGTCACAGCTGTGGTTTGGGTTTAGTGGCCACAGAGATTATCCCTGTATTATATATCCCTGGGTATTATCCCAGCCTCCCTGAAGGCTCCCCAGGAGATGGGAGGTATTGCAGGATTCATCACACCATGTGAGGGGATGCTGGGATTTTGGGGTCCCTCAGTGTGACCCCATTTCCCACCAGGCCTTAAGAGAAAAGTGGCCTCAGCCAGCCTCATATCCGACTGAAAAATCCCACTGCACCCACTTCTGATGGGAATTGTCACCTGCAGTGTCGGGATGAGCTGTGGCTTGGCTGGAGAAACCCAAAAACCAAACCTCCCCAGCACCCCGTGTCCTGAGACAACAGCTCATCCCCTGACCTGGGATTATTCCCTGTCCTTCTCTTCCCACTCGACCTGACCCCCTTTGAGCCTTCCCAGCTTTCCCCCCCAGCACACCCAATTTTGCTGTGGGTTGAGGGGCCAGGGTGACCCCCCTTCCCAAGGCTGTCAGTGAGGACCCCCCTCTTCCTACACATCCCATGTGAGGACCCCCCTCTTCCTACACATTCCACAGGCAGAACGAGGGGCAGGATGAGCCTGTTCTTTGTGTCTGAGCTGTACCATAACCATGGCAAGTGTCCCTGGGGCTGGGGGGAGAGGCAGGAGAGAGGGGATGGGGCAGGGTGTGCAGGCAGGGGGGTGTAGGCAGGAGGGGGGGTAGAGAAGGGTGTTGCAGACTGTGGGGTGTAGGCAGGGGGGGGTTGGCAGTGGGGTCCAGGCAGGGTGGTCCAGGCAGATGTGGTTCAGGTGAGGAGAGCAGGAAGCAGAGCGCAGGCAGAGAATGCAGGCAGGGGTTAAAACAGAGGGGGTTCAGGCAGAGGGGTACAGGCAGAAGGGCACGGGGGGGATTAGGCAGAAGTACAGGCAGCAGCTCAGCCCATGGACAGCGGGATAAACCGGCAGCGCAAACCCGAACACCAGAGCCCGGATAGCTCAGTCGGTAGAGCATCAGACTTTTAATCTGAGGGTCCAGGGTTCAAGTCCCTGTTCGGGCGCTTAGGTTTTTTTTTTCCTCCTCCGTATTATTTTTTCCCCCTCTAGAGCCTTTTTTACACCCGCAGAACCGCCGGTGCTTCCCCGCCGAGGGTCCCGATGCCCCGGGAGAATCCGGGCAGGGAGCAAGAAAAAAAAAAAAAAACCAACGTAGACGGGAAAACTGAAACCGCCCGAACAGGGACTTGAACCCTGGACCCTCAGATTAAAAGTCTGATGCTCTACCGACTGAGCTATCCGGGCTCTGTATCGCTGTGCAGGGACAGCGCTTATGAGGGAGAACACAGGGACAGCCCCGGCTGTGTGTAGGGCAGGGGCGGCCCCACGGCGTGGGATCCGTTCCCAGTGTCTCCCCAGATCCAGAACAACCCCCCCCGCACTTCGTTCTTTACACGCAGCAGTTCAGGCACTTCCCAAGCACAGAGTTAATTGGGGCTGGTATTGAATTTCCACCCAGGTTACGCGACCCCAGCTCCCTTGTCAGGGGAAGGGGCTGTGTAGGGACAGGGGCTTATTGACCCCTAGGTGGGATTTTTAGGGTTGTCACAGAATGGTTGGGGTTGGAAAAGAGCTCTGGAAATCGATTCCAACCCCCCTGCCGAGGCAGGGTCACCCGGAGCAGGTGACACAGGGTGGGGTTTATAATGAAGTTTATTGGGTGTTATAATGCCCAGGTGGGGTTTATAATGTCCAGGTGGGTTTTATTATGTCCAGGTGGGATTTATTGTGTCCAGGTGGGGTTTATAATGCCCGGGGTGGTGGGGGGGTTATAACAAAGACAGTTCAGCTCTAGGGCACAGGAACTTCGAGTATTTTGCCAAGTCAGTTATGTCTGCACAGACGCACATTGACATTTTGATTTACTGCATCCCTAAGGCTTGTTAATTCCAGGATGTCCTTGAGCCAGGGATGAAACTGCTGCCTGTGCCACTGAGGCTTTAAAGTACACATAGATCTCACATCAAAGAACACCTTGACTTGAGACAATCTTGATTTTTTTATTTATGTTTAATAGTATTTATAATTTCTAATTTACTTATGCATTATGTATAATATATATTATATATTACACATATTATATATCATGCATCATAATATATATTATCTATTACAAATAATAGATAATATATTAAATATTTACACCTATAAATACGAGATAGATTTCCTTATAATTACTTATCATAGTTTATTATTATTATTACTACTATTATTATTACTATTATTATTATTATTATTATTAACTATTTTATTTGCATTATTGTTTTACATTTTCCAGCAGGGCTGAGGGGACGCTCCGCCTGAGTCCTCCAACCCGCTGGGGGGCGCCACGTCCCCCGCGGCGTCCCCCGTCCCCTCTAGCCGCGCGCCCCGCGCCGCTCCGTGACCCCGCCGCCATGTTGGCCGCGAGGGGAAGCGGCGGCCCGGACCCCGCCAAGATGGAGGCGCGGAGCCCTCGGGGGGTTTAGGGGTCCCATCCCCCTCCCCGGGGCCGCCCGGGGCCCATGGAGCGGTTGTAGGGTGAGCCCGGGGCCGGGGGGGGGAGCCAGGGGTCCCGAGGAGCGCAGGACTGAGGGGGCGGTGGGAAGGGGGGGGCAGGAGGCGGTGCCGGCGGGAGGGGCCTGGGGCGGTGGGAGCGGCGATAAATCTTATCTCCTGCGAGGGAAAGGGTGGGAATTGGGATTGTTCAATCTCCAGAAAGGAGGCTCTTAAGTGAGCTGATTGCGGCCTGAAGGAGTCAACAGGAAGGATGAAGAGAGACTAATTCCAAGGGCCTGGAGTGACAGGACAAGGGGGAATGGGTTTACACTGCCAGAGGAGGGGTTGGATGGAATATTGGGAAAGAATTCCTCCCTGGGAGGGTAGGGAGGGACTGGGATGGATTTCCCAGAGGATGCCCCATCCCTGGAAGTGTCCAAGGCCAGGCTGGACGGGGCTTGGAGCAACCTGGGACAGTGGAAGGTGTCCCTGCCCATGGCAGGGAGTGGGATGGGCTTTAAGGGTCCCTTCCAACCCAAACCATTCCATGATTCCATGGTCTCACCTCCACCTAGCAGGAGGGCAGCTCTCCTCGTTCCCTGGCTGGCATTCCAAAGGATGTGGAGGAACTTGGGAACACGGTGGGGGAGCTGGGGGTGGTTCCCAGGGAGGGGTGGGGTGTTTGTCACAGGAGGACTTCCAGGCATGAAAACTCCCAGGGACTGACAGGGACAAACCTAATTATCCCTGACTTAATTATCAAATTAGTGCCTGTTTAGGGCCTCCCCTCCAGGGCTGCTCTGTATGATGCTCCACATAGAATTACAAGTTATTTTCAGTATTTTGCTCTGTTGCTGGGGTGTCACACCTGAACTCACCATCCATTAGATCCATTAGAGAGCCCACAATGTCTGGTTTACACTCCCTGCTGTGTTTCCACTTCACACACGAGTTAAAAACTGTCCTTTGCTGGAAATGAGACTGTAAAACCAAACCTGAGCTTGAATTAGAAGTTTAACTTAACTTTCCAGGCTGTGCTTGCACTCTCTGGGTCTGGTAAGATCTTTATTCTCGAGCACCAAAAGCTGTGCTCTGGTGGGGTTTTGGTCTCTTGAGAAGGAAGTTTTACTCCCAGCACAGGCAGATGTGCTGTTCCTGTGGTCTGTGTCAACTTTTCGAGTGGAAAATACGATTATTCGTGACTCCTCTGTGATTCATGGATTCCTCAGACGTTGCTCCGGTCCAGTGGCATTTTCCCTGGCTCCAAACAGCCCTAAGTCCACTGGTGCTTCATTCCCTTGGCTGCAAGTTGGTCCAGGCACAGCGTTGGGAGGTAAAACGTCGGATATTTAGAGGCAGAGCTGTAGGGGAGGGTTAAACTGGGCCCACTGAGCTTCTCCTTTCCTTAGGAACGGGCACAGGGTGGAACCGAGGGAGGTTTTCTGTGCCTGGTGGCTGCGTCCGTAGATTTTGTGGGAGCCTGGAGCTGGTTTTTAGAGCTTGGGAAGGCGGCACTTGGGAGCCCCGAGGTTGATCTCTGATTAAAGAAAACTCAGTGAAAATATTTGTCTGTAAACCCTGAGGCTAAGCTGATAGCACTGATCAAATCAGTGTGGAAACAGTTAGAGCCGTGGCTGGTTGATGCCTCAGCCCGGGGTCCTTATCCTGGAATGCGGGGTCAGGAAATGCACCTTTAGCCCTCCCCGGGCCGCTCTCCCCAGCCCGGGCCCTTATCGGGGCTCCCCGCCCCGCCCGGCGCCCTTTGAAAGGGCGACTCAGAGCCCGGAGCACCGGCGGGAAGCGGCAGAGCCTTCCCGGGGCCGCCCAGGACGGGAATCCAGGGATAATAACCCCGGGATAATAACCCCGGGATCCCCCTCCAGCAGCGAGGTCGGTAAGTCAGGCTGCGGGTTAGTTCAAGCTTAAGGTGAGCAGCTCGGGTTTGATGTTATCAGCCAGAGATCTGCGTTAAAATCGAGGGGGGTGAGGAGGTGGAAGTGTTTCAAGATGTATTTTGTAGTTTGTAGTTTGAGTTGCTACCACTGTTATTTGCAAACCTGAGTGTTTCATGTGCTTTAATCAGCCCTCCCTGAGTATTCAGAGATATGTTTGATCCCTGGGGATGATTTTATTCCTGACAGTGCCTCACTTCAGAGGACTGTAATGCCATAAAAAACATCAGAAGCCTCTAATAAAGTCATTAAAAGTCTTTTTTAATAGATGGGCGGGGATTGAACAGTTACAGGAGCTTGACTTGGTGCTAAAGCTCAGATTTTTGTCGTTACTGAGCCACCTTGAGCCTGTTTTGTCTGCAGCTGAGACCTTTGGCTGCATTCCTCAGGCAAATTCCTCTGGGAATTCTGCTGATACTCAAGCTGATCATGCTGGCTCTGATAACTGGGTGTAGTAACAAATTCATTTACTGGAGCTGGAAAATTCCGTGCCAGACAATTCACATATTGCTTTGAAAGTTTGGGGCTTCACACTTTCAAATCTAATGTTTTGGATTTAGAAGTGAAATTGAAATAATTATTGTTGAGATTAAAATAATTAAACTACTGCATGGACTAAAAGTTCAGTAAAAACATTCCCAAAGTTGCAGCTACCCAGGCAAATTGAGGAGCCAGTCTTGGTAGTTCATCTCATGCTTTAGCCTTAATTTTACCAAAAAGGCAGTTGCAGGGCTTGTTTCAGTATTGCCTGTGACCAGATTCATGTTAAAATTGAGATTTTACTGTAACTGGATGTAGGGACATATAATTTACTGGTTTATTGGTCTGAGCTTTAGTGCTGAGACTAAAATCAAGGATTCCTGTTTTTCTCCATCAAGTTCAAGGTGCTTTTTTCCAGTGAGGAGTTGATTTAGACCATCCCTTCTCTTCAGAGATTTCAAACCTGTTGTGTGGGGCAGACAAAAGTGGACTGTGCTGGGAACATGAGTCACTGCTGCTCTTTGGGTGGATTCTGAAACTGAGACAAATTCAAATAGCTGCAGGACTTCCCCTTTTGTTCCCTTCCAGGAAAGGATCTGTCACCTGCTCGCCCAGAAACTGTTCATTTATCAGGTGGGGTGGGGGCTGCAGCAGCTTTAGCAGATTTTCATCTCTTGGAAGTCAAAGGAGGGGGGAATGTGCTGGTGATTGCCATCAGCTCTGGCTGCTGCTCCTTTGGGAGTCAGGCCTTGCTGTCCTGGGGTTTCCCTGCTGGCTGGTTGTGACTCAGCTCCTCATTCCCCACCTCTGACTCAGGGGTTTCACCAGACTTTGCTGATCCCTCCTGGGCACTGGCAGGTCCCCAAGTTCCTCACCGTGGTGTGTCACTCCTGGAGAGGCAGAGAATTCCAGAATCACTCCTGGAGAGGCAGAGAATTCCAGAATCCCGGACTGGTTTGGCTTGGGGGAACCTTAAAGCTCATCCAGTCCCACCCCCTGCCACGGGCAGGGACACCTTCCATGAGCCCAGATTGCTCCAAGCCCCATCCAGCCTGGCCTTGGACACTTCCAGGGATGGAGCAGCACCAGTGTCCCAGTTGTCCCTGGCTGGATCCAGCTCAGAATCATGGAATCATTGAGGCTGGAAAAGACTTCAGCATCAATAAGTCCACCATCAACCCAGCACCACCCCCATGGTCATCACCAGCCCCGCCCTCAGGTGCCACATCCACACGTTTTTTGAACACTTCCAAGGGTGGTGATCCCACCCCTGCCCTGGGCAGCTGGGCCAGTGTTTTACAACCCTTCCCACCACAGATTTGTCTTCATATCTAACCTAACCCCCCTCTGGCAGGGCAAAGCAGGCAGGGCACAGGACCCACCAGCATTGCACAGCATCCTTTGAGATGTGACTGCAGGGCTAATTTTAAACCTCGGTTTCCTGAAGCTTCTGAGGAGGTGGAAGTGGTTAAACTCCAGCCCAGGTTTCTCAGCCTGACCTTTCTCAATTTTTAGGTGCTGTTACCAGCTGCTCACTGCACCATGAGCTCCCCCATCCCTGCCCAGCACCCAGCAGCTGAGAATGCCTGCAGGATCACTCTGGGACAAGCTCACCAGGTAATTTGCTGTTATTTCTCCCACTTATCTCTGCTGTTTTCCCCTCAGAGCAGTGATTTCTTCCATTAAATCCAAGCTCTCCAAGTACCTTTAAGTAAGGAGAATTTACCCTAATGGAGCAGGGCTTTCATCCTAAGGTGTTGTGTTATCTTTCACTCTCAGATCATTTATGAACTCTCAGTGGTTTGTGAACATTATTTAAAGGGGAAGGAAGGGAAAACTGGAGATACAAAAATAATACAGTGCCTGTTTTTGTGCTGAACCTTAGAATATTCCATGTCCAGCATTCCTCCTGGAGCTGCACTCTGGGACAGCTGTATTGGAGCTTTGTAACCTTGTATGTTAAACTTTGCCTAGTAATTCATCCCCAGGGCTTTTTGGAAGTCTGTTTAGGTGGCTTTGGACATGGAGTACTCCTGTTATCACCTGTTCCTGGAACAAAAGGTATTTGTGGGTGCAAGCCAAGGCCAACGTGGCAAGTGTGTGTTTGGAGTGTGGCTCAATACCAGCCACTCAGAGAAGAGAGGTTTGCCAACAACAGCAGAAATCTGGTGTTAAAAAAAATCAGAAAGTCTCCTCCAAGCCAGGCATCCAACCTTCCAGAGCCAATTCCTTGTAAAAAAACCATCCCCACGATGTCAGGGAATGTGGTGGGAGTGGAAATAAACTTATGGGAAGTTGAGCATTTCCCATTTGAGGCTTTATTTAGAAGCTTTGAACTGGAGCCAAGCCCTGTGCAGAACTGATGTCAATGCTTATTTATTCAATTTGCTCTGTATGGGAAAAAAAAAAATAAGTAAATAGGCTCTGATAATAGTGACAAAATATTGATTGTCAACACTTGTGTCCCGGGCAGGGTGGAACAAACACTTCCATCAGGACTGGGGGAGCTGAGGGCCCATTTTGAATGATCCAGCTGACTGGGTTGCTTCTTTCATCAGAAAGAGAATTCTCAGAAGTTCCTTCAAAACCCATTTGAGAGTGGTCATTAGAGAAATGACTGAACAAACACATAATTTCATCTTATTAAAAGCCATGTGCTGATACAAGCACTTACTGGAGCTGTGCTGAGCTTTTTCCTACTGCAGAAGCTGTTTTTTGAGGAAAAGGCTTGAGGCTGGACACGAGTTGTTGTGTTTGAGCTGGAAAATGCATTTTAGAAACACCATAGTCAGAAAACACCATAATGAGAAAACAGGGCAGACAGGTCCACAGAGGAGGGGAATTTTTCACAGTTTTAGAAAACAGGAATAAACACCTTGCCAAGGTGCTGCCTGGGAGCTGAGTGACAAATGACATCCGTGACAAGCAGCCAAACCTGCTCTCCTTTTGCAGGAAAAAGGTGCTGCAGTGCAGTTGGCCTCTTTTAAAAAGATCCCAGACTGGTTTGGGTTGGGAGGGACATTAAAGCTCACCCAGTCCCACCCCTTGCCATGGGCAGGGACACCTTCCACCAGCCCAGGTTGCTCCAAGTTTATCCAACCTGGCCTTGGACACTTCCAGGGATGGGGCAGCCACAGCTTCTCTGGGCAACCTGTGCCAGGGCCTCCCCACCCTCACAGGGGGAATTTCTTCTGTGTATCTCCTAAATTTCTCCTTGTTCAGCTTGAACCCATTCCCCTTGTCCTGTGACTGCAGTTCCTGATGAAACCTTGATTATATAAAATAAAAAGCACCCTGGGTATGGTGCAAGTGCTGCACAGCCCCTGGAGGTTCCCCCACACCCCCAGAGCAGCTTTGAGGCATTAATTTGAGGTGTTAATTAACAACACCTCGTGTTTAATGCACTGCTCTTGTTCTGTGCCTGTTCATGGGTAAAGACCTGGAGAGATCCTTGGCCTGGGCAGGGCAGAACTGATGTGTTCCCAGCAGAACTGGGGCAATCCAGGCCCAGTGGCAATGGGAATGTCCCACCACTGCTCCTGAACTCTGGTCAGTCACTGCCCAGGCCTGCATTCCAGGGCTCTGAGTTTACAGCCTTCCCTCCCAGGAGGAATGGCATCAAAGTTCATGGGACTGTTGGGATTAGAGCCTTTAGAGCTGCCTACCTGCATTCCTGGGCTGTTTTCTCTTGCTGGATGGCTGTGCCAGAGGGGTGGGATTTCTCTCAGCAGGGCTCTGCTTCCTGTCTTTCCAACAAAACCCTGCTCTGTGTTCCAGGTGAGACCCAAACTGCCACTCCTGAGGATTCTGCAGGCAGCAGGAGCCCAAGGAGACACCTTCACACTCAAGGAGGTGGGCTCACGTGCCTGGCCGTGCCTGGTCCTGCTTTTTGGGGAGTTGGGATAGGACTGGCTCTTAATTTTTCTGTACTTTGAACCCCTGCCTGCAAAATAAGGATACTTAACCTGTAGGACTGTTCTGGCTTGATTGATCATAATGCCCCTGGAGGAATTGGAGTAAGAGTGTGAAATATTATTTATCACTGAAAATCAGAAACCTCTGTAGAGAAAGGAAAGATGGGATAATCACATTCCTGAGAGAGTGTAGGAGATTCTGTTCCATTGTGCTACCCTCTGCTCAATGTACCAAAGCCTTAAAAATTGGATTCCAGTTGATATTTTTTAACTTTCCCTTGAAATGGCTTGTCAGCCTAACCTAAGAGACCCTGTGTATTCATTTATTTTAAGATTAAAATGCAATATATGTACACGATTAAAAAAAGGACAGTGTGATTTACAAGAAGATCCTGCCTACAAAGAATTAAATGCAGTGGTTTTTTATTACACGTGTCAAATCTTCCTGCAGAGCCCTGTGACTTAATTTAACACTTATGCATTTAAATAACTTATTTAGCTTCTAAAAATTTGTGCAAAAAACCCCAAATTGGATGGTTTAAATGGGCAGAGCTGAGTTTTAAGTGCAGGTCACCTGTAGGGATTCACACTTGAACTCAGCTGGGTTTTCTGCAGTGAGTGGAGCACTGATGGCAACTTTTTGGGGACACTTCAGGGTCACTTTGGTGGGTGATGGGGGGTGGAACTGTATTGTGCTTCAAGCACTTTGCTTTCCCCTCGGGAAATTCCAGAGGAGTTAGAGTACTTTGGATTGCAGCTGGAGGGTGTCTCCTCTCCATCCTTCTTTGTGATACTAATGGGATTCATTTTACACCTGGCAAGCTGTGTCCTGAGGGGCAGCACTGTAAATGTGTGGCCAGCCTTTGGGAACAGCTTGTTCCTTTAACTGGGAGGGTGCTGTTTGTCCATCTTTGCCTCAGTTTTCCTCCCTGTCCAGGGTTAATAGTTACAAACCTCACAGCAATGCCATAAACCCCAACTCTCCCTGGGCTGGGAGGCACAAGAAGTCAGGTGTGATTTGACTCACACTGTACAGGGCAGCAGGAGGCAAACACTGTGAATTCAGGGGAATTCCCAGGGCTTTTGGGGGTTTGGTTTAGGCTGCAGGTGGGGCTGAGGGTGTGTTCTGTCCCCACAGGTGATGCATTACCTGGGCCAGTACATCATGGTGAGGCAGCTCTATGACAAAAGGCAGCAGCACATGGTCTATTGTGGAGGAGATCAGCTGGGAGAGCTGCTGGGCCTGGAGAGCTTCTCTGTAAAAGATCCAAGGTAGGAGAAGAGTCACCTTGAACCCGGGTTGTCTGACAGGGGTTGCTGAGACAGGAACTCCCGGTGTCACTGTCACTTAAACCTCCCTGTTGGTGATGGGTGTGACAAGTGGGAGCTGAGCTCCTTGTTCTGAGGAGCCAGGCACTGAGCTGCTCGAGGTGACATCTCTCCCCCTCTTTATTTCTGCATCTCCTCAAACCCTTGATCTCACTTGAGCAAAAATCCACATCTGCCTTGAGTCCTGAGCTGAGCTTTGTAACGATCAGTGAGGAGACAAAAAACCCCCCCCGTGTGTGGTTTCTAGTGTCCCTCTGGACAACAAAAGGGAATTCTTGGCCCTGTCCCTGGAGAGTGGTGGTGTTTTTTTTGGGAACACTGACTGTCCCTCCCTCCCACAGCCCCCTGTATGACATGTTGAAATGGAACCTGACGGCGGCTGCACTCACAGGTAGGTTGGTCACAGTCCGGGCAGGGCCTTTCAATGTAGTGTTGGTATAACCTGGTAAGTAACAAAAACCAGACACAGAAATGTTTGTCAAGTTGGAATAAACTGCTGATGAAGGTTTTGAGACGATCTCTCCGAGTATGTGTCTTTTCTGTGTGTCAGGAGCTGTGATACCAGAGCAGGGAGCTGGTTGAGTGATGTGGCTGCCTCAGATGGCCAAATTTCAGAGAGCTAAATGCTGTGGATAAACAAATCACCGTGGCTGAAGTGTCCCATCCAAATCATTATTGATTTTCTCAGTATTTTTCAGTTTCAGAGCTGCAGCTTCTCGTTCTCACCTCATTTTATACTTTCATAATCCATAACAGCACCAGAAACCCAGCGAGCTCTGCAAGCCAGAGCTCTGGACTTTAATCAGACACTTGAACCTTTAAAGGTCACTGTTGCTTTCCCAGCTCGTAAGAGAAATCAAATCTAGCTCCATCAAAAGTCCTTCAGTCATAAATGAAAATTTATTCTTAAATTAATCCTGGCTGATGGCTTCCTTGCAGCCAGCTCCCATTGTGGGGCCAGTAATCTCCATTGGAAAAAATCAACTGGGAGAGGTGTGGAGTCTTGTGCCATGTTTCCTGGGTGCTCTAAGCAGATAATATGGACTTAGTTCTTTACAAAGGCTCAGGCTATTTTTGCACAAGTGCATAAAAAGCTTGTGCAGATTTAGAAACTGAAAAAACATGACCCCGAAGCGCTTAGTCCTCTGCTTTGAGCCATGCTGATGCCTCTGAGGCCCCCCTGCTTTAATTATAAACAAGGATCTTCTTGAGTGGACTCCCCTAAACCTGTAGAAAAACTGTGTGAGTGCTGCTTCCCTCACTGGTGATGTGCTGACTCTTCCCTAAAGCAGTTTGTGTGGAGAGCAGAGGATGCCAGCAAACACTCTGCTCTGCTGCCCTGTCCCCTCTCCTTGGTCTGGGCCTGGGAGTGTGTGTGTGTGTGTGGTGCAGTCCTGGTGTGACCTTAAACCTGCCAGAAGGAATCCTGAGTTAGACCTGGGGGTGTGTGTGTGGTGCAATCCTGTGTGGTGCAATCCTTAAACCTACCAGAGGGAATCCTGAGTTAGGCCTGGGTGTGTGTGACTAAAACGAAACAAGCTTGGCAGACCAGACCTTGGGCAGATCCCTAGGGAGGGTCACTCCAGGTGTTGCTTTTCCTTCATCCCAACACAGGAGTAACTGGAAGTGCCTCAGGACTTAAGCATTCTTCATGTTTCGTGTTCTGCAGTAGCTGCTCGTGTTCATTGGCCAAATCAGGGCTTATCAGCTCATCGTTTTGTAGATTATTTGACCATTTTTAAGTGCACTTGGAGAAGGAGAAATGGCTGCAGCACATCTTGAGAATGAGGAATGAGCTCTTACACAGGGCTCTTTATCAGACCACCATCTGAACTAACACCTTCCTTGGCCAGCTTTCCCCTTTCCTTGGCCAGCTCCTTCCCCCTTCCTTGGCCAACTCTCCCCCCAGGAGTGACTCCCACGAGGTGTATTTAGGAATCCTTCACCTCAGGGACATTTTGTGTGGGATATGTTGGCTCCAAAAAGGGAGCCTTCCAGTCAGTGCAGTGTTTTCACACAGTGAAAATTTATAAAGTGTTAGAAGGGTGAGTCTTCATCTGTTCCAGTGTCCCTGCAGAGCCAAAGCAGTGATGGATGAGCCACTTGGCTTCTGTTTTCCTCCAGGTATTAAATAATCAGTGGCTGCAGGAGCTGAAGGGTGACGGGAGCAGGAAGGGAAAGGTGAACTAAAGCAATAAGGGACAGGAGCCATGTCATCCTGTCCTGGGTTTTGCTCCATTTGATGGCCACTTTGTGGTCTAATTTTTGCCCTTAGCAACAATTTTGAGTGTCTTCCTATCAGTGCAGTGATTCATGGTGTGAATCAGACTCATCCTGTGTGCCTGGCACTCTGCAGGGAATGTCTCTGCTAAACTGAAAGGGGAGCAAGCAGGAGCCATCCTCAGATCTTTTGTTCTCCAGGCAGCCATTCTGTCTGAAGGACAGGCTTCCTGAGTGCACCTCCTATTATGTAGAAAGTTCTGTTAATTGGATTGTTCTTGCTGTTTAGCTTGGTCTTTTAATTAACTCTTGGGGCCAGCGGAATCATCTGGATTAAATTGTGTTAGGGACGTGCCCACAGCTGCCCAGGAAAGAGCTGGCTGTGCATGGAATTTTCCCTTCTTTAGTCTAGTCTTTGTTCTTCGTGCCCAGACCCTTTAAAAAGGTGTTTTTCCTGCCTCAGCCTGAGCTGGAATCCTCAGGTAGTTATAAAAATCTTGCCCTTCCCCATTCCCCTTCTTCAGCGTGGATCTGATCCAGGTGGGATTCCCCACACTCTGGGTTCCTGCCTTTGGCAGACCTTGTGTCTTGTCCCTGGAGCTTGTCATGGCAGGACAACCTGGAGGAAAAGGAGCAGTTTTTCCCTTTGGGAAGAGGATTCTTCCCTGCTGTGAGTTTTCCTCTCCTCCAGGGGGGCACAGCCTGTGTTCCATGGGCTGCTGCCTCCACGTTCTTTCCGAGGAAGGACGGGCTTTGTTCCTGAAGGGTTTCTCAGAGGTCTGCCAAGCCTGGCTCGTTGGTTGCTTGTGAAACCCCTCTTGTGTTGTGAGAATGGTTATTACTGGGGAAGGTTTTTTCTCTTGTTTTACCTGCCATCTAGATGCTGCACAGACTCTCCCAAAGGAGCAGAGCGTCGATAAGCCAAGCCAAGACCAGCTGAAGGTAAACCCACTGCCGAGTGGTTTCTTTTGTTGTACAGAGTGCCCCTTCTCTGTACCTGTGCATGGTGGACTGCCAGAACTTTGTGCTGCTTGGCTGCCAGGTCCTCACCTTCCTGAAAAGTTCTTGGAGTCCACAGGCAGGGACAGAGTGACCCTTCTCTGTTCTCCTCATAACAGAGTTCCAGTCTCTGAGCGCGTTTCTCTGGGGTGTAGCACTTCCACTCCTCAGTTCCTCCAGCGTGCTCTGCCTTTTCATGTCTTTCCCCCTCTCTCCCATCCCCTCCCTGAGTAGGAATTGCCAAATAACTAAGCTTTCTAAAACGTGTGACCAAGTGTTTTGTGTTTAGTTAGGATTGGTTTTCGAGCTTTCAGGCAGAATTGGAAACCTAGGAAAAATCTTGGCACCTTCAAACTTGTCTCCAGGTGTGTTTTGGGGTGAAGGCAGCCTGATCTGGGAGGTGTCTGTTCAAACTGGGGGTGAGAGGATCACAAATACCACAGTTTTACTGCATGAATGATGGCAACTTTGGGACTTCTGCCAAGCTAAAGATTTTTCCTAGGTTGGAAATACGTGTTTGTGCTGATGACAGGTGCCTTAGGCTTTGTCCAGGGTAAATAGTGTGTAGGTTTTGCTCAGAAACTTTTATTCCTCCTCATAACTGCTTGGTCTTGTCCTGCAGCTGGTGACTCAGAATGGAAGTGCTACATCCCCTTGTCCCTATAAGCTCTGGTGGACTAACACCTGGATTTTCCTTCCTGCAGTTTAGCCAGGAAGAAGGTTCTGATGCTGGGACCACGGAGGGGGAGGAGAGCAAGGCCTCTGCTTTGTCTACCTCGGAGCAGAACTGTGACACTTGTGAAGGTGAGTCCTGGCTCTCCTGCACCAACACAACGTGCACCAGCCCTTCTGCTCCTCCTCTGCTCCTCCTCTGCATCAGCAAACACTGGAGGAGGATTTTGGGACACCAGTAAACCCCTGGTTTGGAGCACAATCATTAAACCCCATCAGTTTATGCTGAAGCTTGAGAGAACACAAATGTTGACCCAAGGTATTGTGTGAGAGATGTGTTTTCTGGCTGGGCTGTTTGGTATCATAAGCAAACAAATGCTTTGAAGGAGATGGCAGGTTAAACCCCTAAAGCACATCTATCACTGAACAATGCCACAGAAAATCTTACAGACCTTGCTGAAGGGTATTTTAAGTGCTGAAATTACACTTGTATCTATTTATCTTCCCAAGGGACTCTCCTGATCACACAGAGCCCAGACTGCACTGTCTGCAGTCATTACCTGCAAACCAATCAGGGAACTGAGCAACAATGGGGGTTTTTTTTGTATCCAGCACAAGTGTAAGACAGCTCCTTCATATTTAGACATTTCCTCTGGTGGAATGTCTGGGGATTTCTCTCTGGGTCACTCATTTGGATTTCAGATGTTAGGGAAGCAATTTTGCTGATTTTTCTGCTTTCTGTTCTCAGGTTGTTTTCATATCAAGGAACCTAATTTGTAAAAGCAGGTCTTTGTGAGTGTGGGTATTTCCAGATCAAATCATATTTCCTGTATGTACAAAAGAGGGAGAAACAGCCTTGTCTGTGCCTTTGAAACTCTGGAAGGGAGAGAGATTCAAGGTTATCTTGAAACTTATGCTGAGTTTGGGATCACAGACTAAACTGCACAGGCTAAAAAGGAGGCTGAAGCCTGGGGAGTGTGGATTCTTACCTTCCTGCTTCCTGTGTGAGCCTGGCTTGGGAATTCAGGAGCTCCCATTGTTGGAAACTAAACTCAAACCAGTTCTTTCTGCATCCTGAGTCACTCAAGAAATCTCCTCAGTGGTGACTTGGGAAGGGCTCAGAAAGAAATGTTTGTGTTTCTCTGAGTCTTGGGGTAAAAACCAACCTGTACCAGTGTAGAGTCACTGGGATCACTGGGATGTTCCCTGACCTCAGTCCCTCAGTGCAGGGACTGCTTTGCCAGGCACACCAGGAGCAGAAAAACCCCAGAGCTCTCGGCAGGAACTGGGGTGAGAAGGAGCAGGAAAGGTTTCTGAAATCACATGGGGCTGTGTTTTTCTCTGCTGGTCTCTTAACAAATGTAGGTGTGGCATGACTTAGACTCTGCTTGGCTCTTACAGACAAAGACTTAATAGAAAACCTCTCTAAAAGCAAGAAGCCTAAGCTGGACCTAGTGTTTGAGGAATGGGATGTAGCTGGTCTTCCATGGTGGTTTTTAGGCAACCTCAGAAGCAATTACGAGTCCAGAAGTAATGGATCAACAGATATTCAGACTAACCAGGTGTGTAGACATTTGGAACAGGTGCACTGTGTCCTCTTCCTCTCCTCTTTTGGGTTCCAAGGCAATAAAATATTCTTGTTCTTTCTTTCCCCTTCCCACTCCAGGATTTTCAGCCTCTCCCTTGTGTGTTCCTGTCCCAGCCTTTCACACCAGGTGGTTGGTTACCTTTAGTGCTTTTTAAATAAACCAGACTCTCCCTGAAGGCCCTGGGAGGTCCCTCTGCACTCCAGGAGTTGCCCTTTTGGGTTGTAGGGTGGTGGCCAGGCAGGAGGGGAAGGAGCACAGAGTTGGAAGTTGGGAAGAGGGGTGTCTGCGAGCTGGCAGATGGAAGAAGGGGGCTGTGAGAGCAGAGAGGTGCCCTGTTCTCCCCTGGCACAGCTGCCCAGGGCTCAGGAGGTTGTGGCTGAGGAGAAGGGGAGAGCAATGGTTGTGGTGCTGGAGCTCCTGCTGCTCCTGAGCTGAGCTCTGAGGGGTTTTCCCTGCTCCTTTTCCCTCAGGACATTGACACTGCCATTGTTTCGGATACTACTGATGACCTGTGGTTCCTCAACGAGTGCCCCTTGGACCAGGGCAGTGCTGGGCTCAAGGTGAACGTGTTTGACTGTGAGGAAGTGAAAGAAGGTGACACAAAGGTACCTCTTTCCAAGGTTTAACTGATCCCAAGTGCTGTGCTGGTATTGGAACCATCCAGAGGTTAAACTGTGTTTAGAAAAGGCTGTCAGCATTCCTTACATGGGTGATGCCTTTCCAGCTCAGCCTTTGGGTTAAATGTGTGTTTTTTCAAGGCATAAAATTAATTTAAAATGAATCAAACCTCCAGCAGCAACTTTACTAGATGTCTGTCTAGATACCTTCAAGAATAATAAATCACAGAATCGTGGAATTAAGGTTGGAAAAGATTTCAAATGTCCTCAGTTCCAGCTGTCAAAGGTAAATGAAAAGACTCAAAGAGGAAAATCTCAGTTTACATTGACCACAGTCAGATAGGACTAAGCCAATCCAGCAAGAGTTATCAACATTCTGGAATAAAAACACTGCAAAAATGGCTTTTCACTCACTTACAGAAGTAGCTTGATTAGCATGGTGATTATACAGTCATTTAATTTGGGTGTGCAGTGCCAGGCACGTGATAAATGGAGATTATTGCAACATTTCCACTCTTCCCAGGTGCCTGAGCATGTGTGTCTGAATGACTTGGAGGACTCTCAGTGCTTAAGTGATGACACAGACACAGAAGGTGCCTCTGAGGTGGGTGATCCCTCAGGACAAGATTCCCTGCTGGAGCAGGGACAGCTCATCCCACACCTACTGCTGGTTGTGGCAGGAGAAGCTGATTCTTGTAAGGGTTACCAGGCCGTAAAAAGTGGCTGGATGAAGTTAGTACTGATCTCCATGCAGGTTTTAATCAGGTTTATTCCATCTTGTCCTCTGGAAGGACATCTGGAGGATGGTCCTGGGCAGAGATCTGGAAGTCTCAAGTGAGCACTTTGTAATCACTCAAGTGCCTCACACCCAAAATCCCCTTGTTGTGGGAATTTCTGTGTCAGGATCAGGGATCCCCTGAGTCCTGGGGGTCCAGCCCTGTTTTGTGTTCCCTGGGATGGGAAGAGAATCCCTGGCTCATTCCAGCCCCTTGTCCTGTGCCTCTCCCCTGGCTCTGGTGAGGAGGGTGCAGTGTCTGGGCTGGTGCCTGTGCCCTTGCTCTGCCTCTCAGAGGACACTCCACAGCTTTTCCCCTGCTCAAATGACAAAAGGAGGTGGAAAGAGAACAAGCAGCAATTACTGAGTTGTCACCTCTCCCCACTCCCCCACTCCTCCAAAAATCCCTCATGGGGGGTCCTGAGAGACATCAAATCTCTGTTCCTTGAGCTGTCCTTCTCTTCTCCCAGTCCTGAGGCTGCCTTGGAGGTTTGTCCTCAGGCAGCAGAAGTGCATCATGAGACTCTTTGCAGCTGATGACACCAAAAAAACCCCGATTTTAGCATCATTTTCTAGCCTGTACTGGAATAAATGGGACTGTCCCTGGCACTGGACAGCTGAATCATGGCTCTGAGCTCGGGCCTTGCTGGGTGGGGTAATCAAGCAAACCTCTATTAATTGTGCAGATCCAGCAGATGCCAAGCGATTAGTGAGCCTGGGAAGTGTATTCCTGACTGATTGCAGGAGCTCTACCCTGGAATTCAGAGCGAGATACTGAAAATCCAATAAACTGCCCAGCAGAGAACACTGGATTCTTGCAGAGTGCTGAAGGCTGGAAGGGAGGGAGGGCAGGAATTAATGTTTGAGATCTGCATCTGTAGAACACACAGGGGGAAGTCGAGTCCTCGTTAGGCTTTCTGAGGTGCTGAGAATCAAACCACAGGCTTAGAAATCGGGGATAAATCCTTTTTTTTTTTGTGAGGCTTCTATGCTACTTTTCCTACATAGAGGAAACGAGCTGTGCACAAGAACACCCTCAGTCACTGCTGGTTTTTTGGCCTCCCATTCCCCCAGGACTGCTGGCAATGCAGCAAGTGCAAGAAGTTCAACTCCCTGGGCAAACGGTACTGCTACCGCTGCTGGGCCCTGCGCAAGGGCTGGTACTCAGACTGGCCCAAACTGGCCCACTCCCTCTCCCTGTCCAGCATTGCTACCATGAAAAACAAGGAGGAGGAAGAGGAGGACGAGGGGATAGATGTCCCAGACTGCAAAAGGACCATGTCGGCCCCGGCTGGGCAGCCCAGCCGCGTGTTCGTGGTGGAACCCAAACCCCCATCCTGCAGCTCCATCGAGTCCCTGGACCTGGCACAGGCTTGTGAGAGCAAAGAGTCTCTGCTGAGCTTCTCTGAGAGTAAAAAGGAGGAAGAAATCGAGTCTCTGGAGAGTATAAAAACGCTGCTGAGCCCCTGCTGCCTGTGCCAGCTGAGGCCCCGCGACGGGAACATCGTCCACGGCAGGACCGCTCACCTCGTGGCCTGTTTCAGGTGTGCAAAGATGCTGAAGAAAAGGAGATCCCCCTGCCCAGTGTGCAGGAAGGAGATCGAGATGGTCATCAGGATCTTCATGGGGTAGTTGGGCCGCTCCAGGCCTTTCTCCTCCAAAAAGGAGCCAGCAGGTTTCTTGCACTTAAGCCCCCCCCCGGTTTCAGATCTCAGCCAACGAAAGCCAAAGAGAATTAAGATTCCAGTCTGCCCCAGCAGGCTGAGGAATCTCTGCAGCGTCCACCTTTCCATGCCCCTGGAAATGAAAGCCTGCAGGGAACAGGGAGGGACACGCTGGGGTAGATGCCTCAGCCTGGAAACGGCCAAAATCTTCCCCTTTCAGCTCAGAGGTGTCCCTGGGATTGTCTGTCCTGACAGCTGGTCCTTGGAGAAAACAAGGGTTGGGAAGAGTTGTAACTTCTGGAGTGTTGTTCTCCAGGAAGTCAGAGCTGTGCAATCAATGCCTTCTGAGGAGGGGTGTGATCTGAGATGGAAATAGAGATGAATACTGAGGGGTGGGAAGGATGGGATTCTGAGGTGTTTGCAGCTTAGCTAGGCCTTTTCTCCAAGGACCAGCTCTCCTGAGGGCAGTGCAAAGGAAATAACCCCGTTTCTGATTTTTTTTGGTTGATTTTTAAGGTAGGATTTTTAGGCAAGGTGAAGGTCCTCTTGCTCCCAGACAGGAAACAAATCCTCCCAGACTCTTAATCCATAATTATCTCAGCTCACAGAGAGAATATAGGGTAACATTTTGCTTTCTTATTGGCTCATTTAATTTACATTGATTCCTTTTTTCATTTAAATATATTTTCTGTCACCTTGCATAGCTTTGAAGCCTGTCCAGCATTAGCTCAGCCTCTGCTCTGCCAGTTGGATTCGATTCCAACAGCTCTGTGCCTGGTTTGGGATGTTCCCAATGCACCTTCCACTTGCCTCATCTGATCAGTCTGCCCAGAATATACTCAATTTTGAGTGCAGTGTGGCCTTAAATACAGGACATGAGCCTTTGAGGAGGAAAAAAATGACTCTTTTAAAGCACCAGTTGCACTCTGGGGGCTGTGCTGGGTGTCAGGTTTTTAATTAAAAAATTACTTAATTAATCAAAGGGGGCTCTTTTTTTGCCCCCTCCCTGTGATTTAACACTCCAGCTCTGTCCTTCAGAGCTGGGCATGGTCGCTGCTGGCTGCCAAAACTTAGTTAACACTCACAATTTAACAAAAATCTCACCCTTTCCTGTGGTGACATCCAGGATTGTGCGTGATTCCCTCAGCTCTCCTGTTTTCCAGGCTTTTTTGGAGGACCAACAGAACCTTCACCTTTCAACTCTCCAGCAATTAGAGCTCAGTGCAATGTAGAACAAACCCTGTTTGTTGTCACCTCTAATTCCCTCTCTAACCCAGGGAGTGCTCATGGAAACACAGCAAGAGAAGTTCCTGCTCATTCCCTGGTGCTTCCTTAGGCTCTTCCTCCCTGTTTTCCCTCTCTCCACGTGCTGGTCCAGCCCCAGCAGGTGCAGGGGGGGCAGTGGGAGCCCCCAAACCTGCCCAGCAGAAGGTTCCAGCAAACCCTGATGTCAGAGCTGGTGTTTCTGTGCCAGAACCCCAGAGTAGGTGCTGCAAAATCCCTGCAAATCACTGCCAAAACTTCCCAAACTTCCCATCCCCCTGGAGTGTTGGGATTGTTCCCGTGCTGGCTGTAACTGGGATCATCAGTGACAGTTGTGCTGGAAAATCCCGATGGTCTGGCACATGGGTGCACTGTCCATGGGAATCAGTCCCCATGGAAAAGGGGATTTATTGTTCCCTTTACTAAAGGGCTCTTAAATTGCTGGTGATGCACTTTACCCACGCTGGGATCAGCAGCTTTACCCAGGCAGTTTCTTCCCTTTTAAAGTGGATTTTTCTCCCCTTTCCCAGGTGGGTTTTTCTCCCTTTGCAAGTGGGGTTTTTTCCCCTTTCCAGGTGTTTTTTTTCCCCTTTGCAAGTGGTTTTTTTTCCTTTTCCGTGTGAGTATTTTTCCCCACTTCAGGTAGGGGGTTTTTTTCCCTTTCCAAGTGGGTTTTTCCCCTTTCCAAGTGGGTTTTTCCCCCTTTCCAAGTGGGTTTTTCCCC